CTGTTAGGAGGCTTCCAAGCCAGGGCTTTTGCACACTGTAATAGATTTAGACGCATCAGCCTGTATACAGTTGCAGTTGGGCTGGGGGTGGAAGGTGGAGAGGAGTGCTATAACGGTAGCTAAGGCCGAGTTGTCACCGCCTAATTGCGTCCTGTTTGAGCGCCAAGGAAGAACACGACAAGAACAGGGCGAAAGCAGAAGTCTTTAAGTATAAAAGGTACAACAAATGTAGGGCAACGAACGCGTGTAAACTATGTCCACTGAGCCAATCAGCTTCTCTTCTGGTGTACATAGCAGCAGGATTGGTTCGTGACTAACGGCTGACTACAACTTGAATTTCGAGTGATCGATTGATCGCCTCGTGTAGGTCGATCGATAGCCTGCCGTGAGTGCGGCTAGCGCTTGCAAGCTAACTGTTTGCTAAGGCTGTTCGTTAGGTCCATCCTAGCAGGGAGGGGGCACCATTGCAAGAACGGCCGCTCCCGGAAGACTAGACATAAGCCCTAGCATTGACTTTAAGACAGCTACAGGCGTCTTTCTAACCTGAGCTTTAAGTATGCCTATAAATATGTAAGCTTGGTAAACTGAAGCTGTAAGCCTGCTCCCCAGCTCCTTCTGCATGAGTGAGCGAGCCCGAGTTGATCATGGTTTACCGTGGTTTGGAAAACTGCCGAATGAAGATTTATACCGGAACCCGCCATCGGTCCAATTTATGTTGTATGTTATTGACTGATTAGTGAACTGGGATTCAGACGGTGACGGCTCCTTCTAATCCCTGGTTATGTAAATGCTGGCATGTATGTGACAAGACGACCCGGTTTTGTTTCTGGCACGCGCAGACAGGTTCTTCGATCCTGTCAGCCAATGTGTCCACCCCGTATCACACCAGCTCAAACAGTGGCCTGAGACTGGAGGTGAGGAAGGGAGTGAGGTAGATGACTCAGCGCACGTTTTTCATTTTAAAACGATCTGACGCCTTTGAAGCTATCACGTTGTCCTAAAGGCCGCGGCTTGGAGGGTCGCCAACTGGCGGGATTGTTCGGACCGTGTGGTTGTGTTGTGTGGAGTGGCTGGCTGGCTGGTGGACCAAATCAGGACACAATGGCTCATTCTTAGTGTGGGCTTCATGGCACCCTCATTCACCTAGGATTCGATTCGCCTCCTTGATAATGAGCACAAGTTGACGAGGGAAGAGAGTGATAGCGTGCGGTAAATGCATCACCAGTCAAATATCACTTAAAATTGATCCACGCGCAGACCACCGTCACTGAACATCGTCCAAATCGACAGTCGAACTGTCGCTTAAGCTAACTGTCGCTTTTGGTTTCTTATCACAAGCGTCGTCTCGGGAACACCTCGAGACGGCTGCTGTCTCAGCATCCATACTCTTTTGGCGCTGTTATAAGGACGCGAGCGGCCAGAGCCTACGGCTTGGAGCCGTGCTCAAACAGCGAACGCTACCGACCGTTCACACAGCGCGGGGAATTATCGATCGGCTTG